GGTTACACGCGAGCCTATCCTTTTTGTGGCGGAGCAATGCAGCGAGTGAATACACTCGGCAGGTTTGCTGTGTATTTCAGAAGACTAGAATCTCAAACTTGGGTTTATTCTAAACACGAACTTTTTATACCGCTTCGGATAACTTCTATGGTAATCGCAATCCTCATGTATTACATTATAACTGTAGAAAATTCGAAGTGAACGGCGGGAATTGTACTGAGCGCCATTTCTGTTGACTGATGACGTAGCATTTCGCAGTGCGGCATAGCGATCGGAAAATAGCGCACCGACTCCGATTGGTCGGTGAATCGCTCGTTACAAACCGAAGTTACGTAAGGTAACAGAAATGGCGCTCGAAAATTTGCGTCGTCACTCTCCGAATTTTTTGTAACAGGTTATCTTAGTTTAATACAGAGTAATTGGATACATAGTAAGTTTCCGACTAGCGGAGAAGTTCGTGTAATAGATTAACAAGTTTGAAGTTCTAGTCTCTGAAAATACACGAGCAAACTGCACGAGTGAATTCACTGTGCTTGCTCCACAAAAGATAGGCTCGCTTGTAACGCTTATCCTCTTGGGTTTGGGTTACATTTATTGTAATATTAGTAATCTCAGACGTGAACCAGTTTGAATTTCCTCCTCTGCCAGACTAATCTGGACTGTGGCCGCGGCGTCTATTATCCAGTCGCTACTGCGATGCGTCCCCCCACGATCAATGCGCACGAGGTGCTAGGGGTTAATTTTCAGTGACTGGGGTTAAATCTCAGACGTGACAGCGGCCGATCACGCGATTTCTACAAGCTTGCATCCGACTATGTCAGATGAGCTAAAAACGAACGAGTGTACTTTCCTAACTTCCTACATGTACTTTTCAACATGTACTTTCCTAAGCGCGCCTCGGCCATTTTATACCCCCTTTTACTGTGAGTCGTCACCTACATAGCACAGCTGGACTCGAGCTCATTTAGGAGCAGTATTAATGACTGGCTTACCTGGTAATGACAATAGCCTAACGCTGTGCTTTGCTTGCAGCGGCAATCCTACTAGACTAACATCGTTTAGAATTGCCCGTTGGACGAGTCTTGCTCTATTAAACGCCATTGCAGTGCGGTCATTGGTTATGCGATTAAGTAATCAATGTAATAAGACTACTATATAAAGAACTATCATTCAAAGTTTCAACAGGCCATGCAGCCTCCTTGCTCCAAACAACTTGCATGCAAGGAGCAGTTTTCGCCGTAGACGGGAGCTCAGTCTCTAAACTTATATCCTATATAACGATGTGAAAAGACATAGATCCCGTCGATTTTCGCGAAACCTTAGACTGGTACCCGTTTGCCATCTTCTCTCCGGCATATTATATCCTTCGCTGCCTTCGCTACACTGACTGTGTTAGTGTAGCGTGTAGAACTGTCGACCGGGTACCAGTCGACTAGAGGGGTACCAGTCTATGTTAACCTATGATCAGTAAAAAATGTTTTTGTGAAATAGATTTTTCCATAGTTTACCAATACTTACGCAATAGCCTCAGTAGTTCGAACTACGGTGAAATATTCAAAATTTAATTTAACGTCAACAAAAGTGTAATATTTTAAGCATACTGTGAGAACTATGGTCTCTAAACATTTTTATGAGAGGCAATACAATAATTGCGTTGCAAGTATGGCGGCAACAGAACAAGTTTGTATCTCTTCCATGTATTTATTAACCGGTGTCCATTAATTGGCGAATACGTACACAGTTATAGTAACACGTAAACCGCATGCACAGATCCACGTGATGTTTGTCTATTTCAACCTTAAACATTGCTGTGCAACGCATGGACGTTTACCTTTGTTGTAATTTCTGCTTCAATCAACATTCACATTGTCATTGACATTGTAATTTGTAATGATTGTTGATTAGGGCCTAGCTCTAATACTAATAGCCCACGTACAGTTGCCGCAGGCCTGCGGCAACTGTACGCGGGCCATAGTACTAGAGCTAATTGTTGATCTGTCATTTGAGCTTGATTATCTCGTCATCGGTATACTGTATAGTCCCTTGGACTTGGAAGACTAATCCTTACGAGGTCGAGGATATAATTGCGCAGTGGCTACGCGTCCGGAACCGCTCGCGTAGCCTCCAGGCTACGCATTCGGACATCCACTCACACAGTGATCGCGCGACTTGCGTACACGCATGATTGTGCAACGGGACGCTCTGCTGATTGTTGAAAA